CCAGGTAACAGCCCCCCTCCCCCACTTCTGGGCCCCCAGCCCCATTTCCACGTGGGGTCTTCGTGGGGGTGGGGTATCTCGTCCACGCGGGGTGACGAGCTAGCGGGGAGCTCCCTGACCATCTCGGCGGATTTTAGAAGCCTTCCCTGGTTAATCCTGCGATGGGAAACCACCGGGAGATCACAAGAAGAACTTGGAAGAGGGCAGTAGCCAAATGCTTTCATGCTGCTGCCAAGAGAGAGATATCCAGGAGTCACCCGGAGCTGAGATCGACTCAAGGGAACTTTTACCTTATTTGATTATTGACAAACCCCCTTTTTGGGCCTTCCCTCTTCTCCCCCATTATTTTCAATCCTCCTCCTCCAGATATCCCATCAATCAAGTTCTCCGTCCGTTTGAGCTGTTAGAAGTCTAAACTCCTATCTGAACATCTTAATGCTAGGATTTAGTTGAAATGATAGGGCTAATCCATGACTCTTGTATAATAATATAGTTGTATGACTACTGAACAATAAATAAATTGATTTATTCCCTTCCAACTCCCTTGTAAGACATTACAGCTACTTAAGAAATGGGAAATCTCCATACAAAGGAAATGCATCCTATAGAGGAAATTCCCTGCTCTTCAGGCTCTCGGTTTGCAGTTGGAAAAACATAAAAGATCAAGAAATAGTGTGAAGAGGAACAAGAAATTATGACAGCTTGTTCTGCTTTCTCTGTCTTGGAAGTCATCCTTGACATCTTTTTCTATGCTGCTGTTGCAATATAACATCTGTATGCTTTCTGTAATTGTTTCTGAGTAGTAGTTAAGAACACGGCCTGACTAAACTGGACTTTCCTGCTAATTTCCATGCCTATTGATCAATACTTTGAGCAAGCCGGATGAGCTAATTTCTTGCAGCATGTTGTAACTGGGACATTTTGCTCTCCTAGGAGTTCATTTGGGGCAGACTAAATTGCCCAGCATCCTGCTCTGTCATTGAGACTGCGGCAAATGTTGCAAAGATTCCTTTAATACGGTTCTTGATTTCTTTTCTCAGTCTTTCATCTTAAAATAAACTAGCAGGGTTTTTTTTAGTGTTTACAGGTTCAACTGCATGATTATCATCTCTTTGTCATTCTTCTTGGCCTGTAATAATTCCATTATACTAGTTAACTCCAACTTTTACTGTTACTGTATCTGAGAAATTAAATGTGCAACTGACATTTTTAATGTTAATTTAAGCTATAGGTAATTGGTGATTTTCACTGTATTCTTCGTGCGCAAACTGAATTGAAACAACTTACATTATGGCATAACATGTTTTATGAACCAGGCTGTATATATTTCAGTCACCTATTATTTGAATCCAAGTCTTTCAGGCCATTGGTCTTCTCTTCTTCCACTATACTCCTGCATTTAAAAGCATTTTCTGAGTAAGAGAAAACTTTTTCATTCTCCTCCACAACCCCACCCGCTTTGGTGCCAGATGGTTCTCCACTCTTCAGGAATTGTATAGCATTATTATCCGTTTATATCTAAAAGCTTTCCTTAAATTGATGGTTTCAATATCTGTGCTGATGAGTACTTTGTCGGATTGGATTGTGCGCCATGGGACTGAAGTCATGCTTTCCCAGGTCCCTTGCTGGCTGGGCTTAGGAGATACTTAGCAATCTCCACATGGTCTTCTTTGGTGCCTTTTTCGACTTTGCATTTGCTTGTTCAGGAAGGTGTGATATTAATGAATTGGTATATGATATTTAAGCATCTCCTGCTGATCAAGATAAGCTCAAGTAATTTATTATAAGCAGTTTTCATTTAGTTTGGATTTCCAGAATCTGGAAGCATCCTTCTTAAACTTGCTTTTTAAAAACATACTCAAATGCCACTTCCTATACTGTATCTTCTTAAAAGAGTTAACAAGAAAAGTAGCAATAAAATGCATAATATGTTAAAATAAGGTAAAATAATATTCACTAATACATTCATTTCAAAGCCTGGGGAAAGGGGGAAACATTTTTCCAACATTCATATTCATGAGTTTTTAACAGGCACCCAGAAATTAGGCAGATCCTAGATTTGAGAAGGGAGAGCTGGGAGCACAGGCACCACAACAGAGAAAAAATAATTGCAAGAAGGATTTCAGTGGTTCTTGGTACACATGATGCCACCAGAAGCTATGCTGCAAGAAATGCTCAAGCGAGAACATTCTGTACCTCATCATATGGGTCTGACTTCTGTAGAAAATACTAATTTAAGAAATCAAGAGTTGTCATGCCAGTTGTAATGGGGCTAATTAGTAAGGTTTACTGCTGTTCTAACAATGGAAATTCATTCCAAATGGGTTCCCCAGGTTTCACATTAGACCACAAATAGGGTCCAGTTGAGCTGAGTCCCCTTTTGGTTATTTTTATTATCATGTTTGCTCCCCATTTTATATTTTACATTTATATATTGCATATGTTTTATTTATTTGGTTCTTTTGGTTTATTGTTTGCTTTTCTGTCATACACTGGCCAGAGTCACATTGGTTGAGTTGGGCAGCCTTATAAATCCAGCAAATAAATCGTTTCTGGATACATACAGGCTGCTGAATTGGGATCACAAAAGCTTTGAAACCTTGCTACAGACCTCATATTGTTGAATGAACTGCAATATAACTTTTAGTGGTGACAAGTTGTGTAGCTTGAAAAAAAGGTCTTGGAAAAAAATAGAATTTATATGCTTATTTAAGCACCTGAATATTGGCACTGCTTCTCCCATCTCAGTCTGCACCCCAGCCCCCACCACCAAAGAACAATTGCAGAAGCCGTGTTTGAAATGTAGGTCTTGTGCTTCATTATGTTAATTTTCTTCTTCTTTTCAGGAGCGAGGTGGCAGCAACTCTTTCACCCATGAAGCCCTTACACTTAAATATAAGCTGGACAATCAATTCGAGCTTGTATTTGTGGTACGTATGCTCTTTTGTGCTGAACAAGTGTTCAAAAAAGGATTCACTAGCAAATGAATACTACATTGAAATAAAAAACTTTCCCTTCATTGTTGTCTGGTTCTTGAGACTGTAGAACAGGTGAAAAATATGTGGCCTTTTAGAAGTTGCTGAACTATAACTCCCTGCAGAGAAGTCAATGATGAAGAACATTATGAGTTACAGTTCAGCAACGTATTCTTCCTTCCCACTGTTGTAATCATATTGTGTTGAGGTTCACAAATCACACCATTGTCGTGGAATGTTTAATCATGCTTTGTTTGATAAGCTATAGTTGGCTGGAATACAAGATATGGCGCCAGAACCAAATGCATCTCATAATGGCTTATGGGGTGTGAGCCCAGTGTGTCATGATGGCAGTGTCTTATAAATGTTCCTTTATATTTGAACCATTAATCAATTTAGAAAGTACATTAAGAAATGTGGTCTTTTTTGAGTTTGTCCATCTGCTTGTGTGAAAACGAGAGAGAATGGAGGCAACCAATTCATATTACTGACTATTAAGCCAAAAGAATTTGCATATCCTTAGATATGAGCCCTCTAACTACATAGCTGTTTTTTCTTACTGCACTGCTTCTCCTCTTTTGCAGGTTGGATTTCAAAAAATCTTGACTTTAACCTACGTGGATAAGTTGATAGATGATGTCCATAAGGAGTTCAGAGATAAATATCGAAATGAGTTTCAACAGAAGGGAACTCTTGGGATCCTTAATGGCACCTTTGATTTTAAGGAAGATTTTTTACGTCTCCAACGGTAACAGAATAATCTCCTTTGGGGGTCCCAAAATCTCACACGTTTTCCTGTTGTTGATTTATCCCAATTGCTTTATCTTTTGCAGCTAAAAGTGTAGGGTTTGGCACAATAGGAATCAGTGAGAGGTGGGCAGAAAGGAGACTTCTGGGCCTCCTGGTTCAGTTGTTGCTATGCTTTGCTGCAGTGCATTTCAAATGGAGGGGGTTTGAAGAAAGGTGATGTTTCTTGGCTACCAAACTAGAAAGTGTGTTCAAAGAACAACCAATTCCAGAGCTGCAGTATTCTTCCCAGCTATAGCCCAGCATGATTAACTGCACCCAGGCTTAAGACAAGATATACAGAAATGGGCAGCTTGGTGTTCATCAGCTACTTGGGCAGCAGTTCCTTGCCAATGAGGGTGCTGGCAAGTGGGAGTTGAAGTCCAGAATAATGGATATATTTGTCCTTTAAATCATTTTAATCTTTTTGCCATCACACCTCCCTTAAGGTACACACCTCCTCTAAAAATCTAAGCAACAAAATGAATGCAAATGAACAATGAAAACAATACAATGAAACTTGGGAAAGGTGATTTATTGTAACAATGTACAACTAAAAGGTTCTTCACACTTCTGGACTCTGTCTGCACCTCCCCAAGGGAGGTACACCTCACAGTTTGGGAAACCCTAGCTTAAGGGATATAATCTTGCTAGGAGGTGTTTTTTTCTATTTGAGTAACAAGGATATAGCAGACATAGTGTGTTATGCAAATGTCTTGACACACCTTGAACTTTCCTTACTCTCTCCCCTTATTCCCTCCCTGCACAAAAGGGGAAGAAATTGAAACATCTGTTTGTGATGTATAACAAACTGTAATCTTATGAAACTATGGGAAAACAACGTATGCAATCCATAGTTAAGAAGCTAGGTGATTAAACCAGGATCAGATTAGTTAATACCCTACTTTGCTAAGAATAATACACAAGGGCCACAGTGTTGATATCAACCAGGAAGCTGATTGGTAATGGACTACAAATGGAAAGTTCAGATACACTCCTGTAGTGTGGGCAGAGAGGTTGAGTCTGATACTGCTAAGTCATAAGTTATCTTTTTTCCTAAAAGTATTTGTTTAATCAGTCTGGTCTTTTAACACATTGTTTAAAAAGCCCGCTGTAATTGAGATACAGCCATTCTTTAGAAAATATTTCAATCTATCCTTGTGAAGGACATATTCATAAACACCTTTGAAGAGGGGAGAAGTCCTGGGAGAAGTCATTATAATCACTGCAAACAACATTGAAAAAGAGCAAAGACAAATAGCTACACAGATCAAAATCATGTCTTGAAGTGCCCAATAGAAGGAAAGAGGGGAGGGAGGGAAGTGGATTCCATGAGAAAAATGTGGTATTCCTGACATTACATAATTTTCCCTCTTTCCAATCAGGGAAGCAGAGGAGAGCAGTAAAGCCCGAGCTCCCACTGCCATGAAGACTTTTGAACAGTCAGCAAAGTCCCAAAAAACCGTGAAGTCTATGATAGAAACTCGGGGAGAGAAACCAAAAGAAAAAACTAAGAATAAGAAAAACAAAGGTTCCAAAAAAGAAGGTGAGTTGATATTGGAGTGAGCAAGTTGTGGGCCCTAGTGGCTCATAGTCCGTAATGCTGAAGAACAATGGGATTTGTAAGCTGAGGGTACATTCAGTTTTAGAGCTGTTTTCTGCCCATCCCTGCTTTAAAACCTTGCATGGGACAGTAACAGTCTTGTTTCTTCAGCTCAAGGAAGTGAAGTGGCTACAGCCCCCAAAACAGCTCCTGCAGTTAAGCCGGACCCTCCTCTTCCAACTGCGGACAAGGAAGAACTGAGTAAGGATGAAATTTTGAAGAAGAACCGTGAAGAATTCTTCAAGAAACGGATGAAGGGTGGAGAGAAGTCCAAGTAAGCAAAGCCAATAACTGGGCAGATTGAATGTCTCTTGTTTCTCCATCCAACAGAACCTTTCTTGGATGGTTCTATCTTTACAGACACGTCCTCCAAATGTCTAATGTTACTGTTTACTGAAGTCAGTGAGGATAAATACTAGACCTTTGCAAAGCTTTGAGGAGCGTTTCATTTCAGAGATGCTTTAAGTGAAGGGTCTTTTTGATGTTCCTTTGCAAAGCAGGCAAAAGTGAAGTGCAACTGAAAGCGAAGTGGCTGTGGTACTTCACTTTGCTTTGTCCAGCTGCCTCACCCCAAAGCTCCATTAATTGGAAGAAGCTTCTATGCAGACACAACACATAGACAGAAACCTCTTCCAGCTGAGGAACTGCCGGAGGAAGCTTTGTAGTGATACAAATTGCCTCAGCGAGGCAAACCATGTTTTGCAGCAGGAAGCAATTTACAAAGTCAAACAATTTGGTTGCATCTGGCTGTCCTTCTCTACACTTGGAAGCTAAGCAGGGTCCAAAGTGGTTAGAATCTGAATGGGTGGCCACCAGGAATCCTAGGCCTATCAGACTGGGAGGTTGGGGGGAAAAAAACACATTCTGGAGGAACTGCAGCAACAAATCACTTCTCTGTTTCTGCCTAGAAAACCACTAGGAGTTGAGCCACCTATCTACCAATGAATGAAATTAGCCTAATTCTACCTTAAAAATGTGTCATACAGCTGTGGAATCTCCTTACAGTTATGAAGTCTGTCTGTAGCGTTTCTGGGTGATTCCTTGAATGTTTAAATCTATTGCAACCTTGTAAAATGCAAAGAACATGCATATATGCTCCCACTAGGTTGTTCTCTGTGTCCTGAAATTAGTGGGTAGATTCCCCAGGTTAAGAACGCCCAGTTTATGGACAACCCATAGTTAAGAATGGAGCTTGTAACAGAATTCAAGTTACGTACACAATGATTCAAGTTAAATACACAACGGTTTGAGTTAATTACACAGTACTACTTATACAGTATTATACGATAATACTGTTCCAGCTTACATACAAATTCAACTTAAGGACAGACCATGGGAACAGAGCTTGTTCTTTAACTGGGGGCTACCTGTATCCCGCTCATACATGTGTGCCCTTAATATAATAATGCATGTTTACTCATGTGAGAAGACATACATTTGTTTTACTGCCTTTCAACTCCAAAGAAATTGCACCCTTCTGTTCAAGCTGGTCATCTTTCTTTGAACTAGAGGGGAAGGGAAAGTATGATTAGAACACAGCCTGCCCCTTCCTCAGTATAGCAGATTCTAGGTGCCAGGATCTCAGGCAGGACTACCAAAATCTCACAAAATGTTGAAACTGTTAAAATCTCACTAAGTCTGGGCAGTTTATTATGTCATTAGATGAAACTGGAGGCATCGTAATATTGCCAATCCCTTCTCTTTGTGGTCCAACCAAATTCCATGTTGCATGTACTGTAATTCACCACAGGAATTTTGCTTAGCTCAGTGACTAAGATCTAAAAGAGCTTCTCTTTTGTCTTCCTTAGCAAATCGCCAAAGCAGGATGCTCAGAAGGACAAGGGGAAGAAGCCCCGTGTGTGGGATACAGGGAATTCTAATGCCAAAGTACTTGATTATAGTAACTCCACTACTAATGGAAACACAGACACTTGTCCCATGGAGAATTATGATGCAGAAATGGTAAGATCTCCATTAAGATTTCCTGTCCTTCAGGTGGCTCTGGAGCCTCAACTGGGGTTCTGCATAGCTACAGTAATTTTTCTTGCACTTAAATCATCAGCACAGATTAAGAGGGCTTCTGTATAATGAGATATTTGTGCAGACTTTGCCATTAAAGCAGATATGTTATTCGAATCAATGGCTGAACTGCATTTGCAAAAGTAAGAGATTAATTAGACTTCTGGTTTAACCACTGCTTATTAATTAAGCCACAATACGCGATGCTTGCTCATGTGGCTAAGACAGACTGTTCCCAATTCAGCTGCTGGTAGATGGAAATCGTGAGCGTGGCCGCCTTCTTGATCTTGAGTATGATAGTGAAGAGGATCCTGGAGAAGAGGATAAGGTGGTTCCAAACTCTTCAAATACAAGGTGAGGTTTGTGGGCCTCCTCATCTGCTCTGCCAAGTATCTTGCAGCTGTGGCTGCCATTGTGGCATTTCCTTGGGTTTGGCTTTCTGGATTGTGCAAGCTGTTGTGATTTTTAATGAGTTTATGGCTTGGAGCAGTGTTTCTCAACCTTCGCTACTTGAAGTCCACACATCTTCAAGCTGTCAAGGTTGAGTAATACTGACTTAGAGTGATGTGTGAGCTCACTCTCTGGCTGCAATTGTCCTGCTCCAAACAGAATCTCTCTGGTGTTGGAGCAAGAAGTAACTGCCATGGAGGACAGCTAAGTCCTTGAAGGTATGGTTTGTTTTCATATGGAGAAAAGCGAGCCAGAAATAAAATGGACAGTCAGTACTTTCACGATACAGTCTTAATTTTTTATCTTTGTCTCCTCCACCAATACACATGTCTATATCTTTTCCCGTCTTGTAGCATAATTCCCTTTTCAATAAACAAAACCGTATGCTACTCATAGCTGAGAAATGCCTAGTATGCAAATGGTTCTGCCTGACCATGTGCATGTAAGCACTTTCCTGATTCTGTGCCTTTTAGTTTGTTCTTATATTATGATTTGGGAATGTTTCAAGAGACCACTGTCAGAACTGAAGGTAGTGTGCAAAAGGGTGAATTGATGTGATCCAGATATTCTGCTCTACAACTATTGTAAACCATTGGCCATGTTGATTGGGGCTGATGGAACTGAAGTTTAAAACAGTTGGAGGATATCAAGTTGAGAACTCCTGATGACATCCGTACACTCTTCAACATTGATGTTTTGTTCATCCCATGTCTCTTTGCTTGAAAAGTGACTTACAAGTTGTGAAAGAATGCTTGGAAATAAGATTGTATCACTGTTTTACTGAAGAGTGTGAACTTGAGGGAAATCCTTTTTTTGATCTGCTCTTTCCATCCTGTACTATGTTAACCTTGCCTTCCTGTTTCCAGCACCAAGAAAAGTGGTCTTGGAGGCATGTTTGGGATGCTGAAAGGTCTTGTGGGTTCTAAAAGCTTATCCAGAGAGGACATGGAGCCTGTGCTGGAGAAGATGAAAGATCATTTGATTGGTAAGATTGAATTCCTTTGGAGTGAGGCTGATTTTGGACTTGACATGGCAATGCTAGGTCATACACTGGACTTATTCCTCCAGTGCATCATAAAACAGTCAGAAAAGGTGTTCATGTTGATAGCTGGGGTTTAGAAGTGATGGCTTTTTTTCTTGAAGGCTAAATGAAAGAAGGGTGGAGAGACCAAGGAAAGCTAGTTGCAAGATTTGCAGGTCCCCAAATTTCTTACAAAATGCATTTCATATCCCATCTTATATTCCTTCTTCTTGATCCTATTTTCAGAACAAAGTCTTATTCATTTATTACCTAGCCAACACCTCAAATGGTTTTGGCTGTCCATGCTTTCAGAGCTGATCCTTCAGTTAAGGTCAGTATTCTAATCCAGGAATATTGGAGATTGGACAAGGGCTGCCCAGATCTTGGTCTAGATCTGTATGCTGCACCAACACCTCTTGGTTTTCTAGGGATATATAGAGGCTGTATACCTTGAAACACCAGTCTGATTCAGGAGGATTTGATTTTATATCAGAGCTGAACAGTCTGCAGCCCTCAAATCCCCTTTCTGCAACCCTTAGAGCTCTTTTAGCTATGATTGCTAAGATGTCCCTTGAACAGATGAAGACTGCAGGAGCTTTAAAACAATCTTTTCTCATAAGATCATCAATAACATCTACACTTCCTTTTTCCCCTCATAGTCATAGGTTAGTTCCATCTCTGGAGCATTAAATGGCTTGCACAGCCAGTGCTTGGTATTTCCCAGAGTGACTTCCTGACTTTTAGCCTTTCAGTACAGAAGAAGCTGAAGGCCTCAATTGAGGAATGCTGACCTCAAATCTAGAGTGGCTGTAAACAGCACTGTCTTACCACACCCCTGAGTTGCTATGAGACAAAGATGCCTTATAATAGGAACTAGAAACACTACATTCTTAACTCAGTTGTGCCTTTTCTTTTCCCAAAGCGAAGAATGTTGCTGCTGAAATTGCAGTTCAGTTGTGTGAATCTGTTGCAAAGAAACTGGAAGGCAAAGTGATGGGCACCTTCACTAGTAAGTGTTTCTAACTTTTCTAGTAGCTTTTCCATGTATTGCAAACAACCTGATCTGTTGGGGCTGTCCTTGGATATGAACCCAAATACACTCATTCATTGTGGAATCCATCTATCTAAATAGTCTGCTTTTACTGGATTTGAGAGATTGTTCACAGAGTCTTCCATCAGAAAAGACTGTGTACATCACAGTAGAGATGGAACACGCCACTCACTCAATAACGTATAATGCAAGTATACCAGTCTATAGTGATTTCTGTTGCTCCTGTTCCATCCTCAAATAGAAAGAGGTAGATTGTGTTAAATCCAAAGCATCATATGCCAAGAATGTCTCATCAAGCAATGAACTGGATATATTTTGATGGTGGTGGAAGGAGATACGTACACAGAAACATTAAACATGTGGCATAATTAAGAGTGTAACTAGGCTGTACTTGAGTTACACTATTTGCTGGTATCCTTAATTAATCTTGTCCCAGACAGTCTACCGTTCTCCATATTTGCTATGGGGCATGGGAGAGTTCCATGAAAGCACACCACACGGAGGGAATATATTGCTCGCTTTCAATTTTCCAGCGGTGACGTCAACTGTGAAGCAGGCCCTTCAAGAATCTCTGGTGCAGATCCTCCAGCCTCAGCGCCGGGTGGACATCTTGCGTGATGTGATGGATGCCAAGCTTCACCGCCGACCTTATGTTATCACTTTTTGTGGTGTCAATGGAGTTGGGAAGTCAACCAACTTGGCCAAGGTACCATAGTAGCTTACCTCTGTGTGTGAGTTTGTAAGCAATTGGAACTTTGGATCTACTAAAGCTTGATGAGATACCATACTGGCATGTTGAGTTATGGAGACATACATGGGAGGTCTGCTTCTTGCTTAAGGTCTTCTGCTATAAAGCATGGTACAAAATGTTGCTCACTTTCTTGATTCCTACCTATTTCAGAGGAAAATGCAGGAAGGATGGTTCACCTGTCCTTAAGTATTATATGATATCATTCTTAGTAGTCCGCATTCCACTTATTTCCCCTTCGATCTCAGTTTTTAAATTATTCAGATTTCCTGATGTTGCAGCTGTCTACTCGGCCATAATAACTCTGTACGTCTAAGCATCTGTTTTCAGAGGAAGACCTGGTGAACATGTTTGTGTTCCACATACATCAGAGTTCATTTTGGTAAATGGGCAGCTATATACATTATTTATCATCTATGTATCAGTCAATCTATCAATCAATCATCTGTCTCTATCTCTATCTGTCTATGCCTTCAAATCAGTGTTAACTCCTGGCAACTACCTGGACTAGTCCCTGCAGTTTTCTTGGCAAGATATTTTCAGGAGTGGGTTGCCATTGGGGCTTAGGGCTGAGAGGGAGGGACTGGCCCAAAGTCACCCAGCTGGCTTCATGCCCAAGGTGGAACTAGAAATTACGGTCTCCCAATTTCTAGCTGGTACCTTAACCACTATACCAAACTGGCTCTTTATAAGCAACTTAAACAGTTGTCCAACAACCCGTCTTGCCTGTATCTGCATTACTACTCAAATTTTGCAAGGCTCTCCTTTGATTATTAAAAGGAATGATTTTTAAGTTTAAAAAAACCACTTGACAAAGCCTGCAAGTTAAAGGTTGATGCTTTCAAGATGCTGACCTTCTGCCTGTTTGGGGGCTACCCCTGTAGAAGGGTTGTATGAATACTGCCCCGCTGACAGCTGGAAGCAAGGCTGCACTTTTTGTGATGGACTGGAATGGTGGGAGGGGAGTAAAGAATGTGCTCTCATCTCCAGAGGAG